ATCCAGTTCAGCAGCAACAACGTTTGTGTATTATATCATAGGAAATTGTTTTATTTAAATCTATTTCATAATATAAATAACTTACAGTTTAACTAACAAAATGTATGAATATTTCTAAACGTTAGACAAGTAGATGGCACATATATGCAACCTAGGCTCACAAACTTTACAACAGACATTGATCTGAAAAAAATCTACGAAAACGAATAACAATGAATGGACGACTGCTACTATCAATAAGAGAAAAAAAGCGTGTTAGCGAAGCTTCTTTGGAGCTGAAATGTGGAACTCACGTATATCCTTCAAACTTGCTATCATAATGCATCATTTATAAACTGCAAAATAGTTTCTTTTCAAATATTTATGAAAGTATTGAAGTATTGTATAGAATCTAAAGCCTTTTGCGCGCGATTGCTGAGGCCTATAATGGAGTTGGGAGGGGGTCTGTAATGGAAGGTATGTCTGTAATGTTCTCTTCAGTTGCTAAGTGTCTGTAATGGGGAGGAGAGAAACTGAGAAAACTTGAACTTAAAACTTACACTCACTATTTTCTTCGAAAATATACGTGAGTTCCACAAAATACATGACTTATTTTTATATAAACCTTTTTCTATTAATTATATAAATGAAATTTTTTCTAATTTATTTGGTTGAAGATGAGTTCCTCTTTCATTTAGGATCCAACCCACAGTAGAAAACTCTCTTTTTACGTTAGTTATTGTTGCAGGAATAGACAAAAATGAACTACTGGTACCGCCTTCTGTAACTCATTTTTGGTCTTTAACGCGCAAAGACAAAAAAAAACTCTTTTCAAAATGAAAACTCAGAAAGTGAATGTTCAAATTCGCAGGGTATGAAGGTTTCACCCTGCCCTGCCCTGCACCCTGCGCTACCTCACCCTGTCCTGCTCCAGGGCAGGGTAAACTTTTTTTTCTACCCTGCCCTGCTTCAGAACAGGACAGGGCAGGATTACCCTGCCCTGTGGCCATCTCTGGTACATAGTATAATCGCCTTCAGCTAAAATTAAAGCATCAACGCGTTTTTCCATACTCTCTACTAAGTTATTACAAAACTCAAGTCGTAACTTTCTCCACTCTCGTTTGATCAATCAAATAAGTGCTGGAACGTTGTTGAGTTTCTTCATAGCCACTCGAATCTTCAAGATATTCCATAAATTTTCCGTTGGATTAATATCCGGTGAACAAGCAGGAAATGGTAAACAGTCAATTCCATTTTCACGTTTCCATTCCTTGCTCTTCTTTGACTTGTGTTTAGGATCGTTATCCTCGAGTAATTCAAAATCATGATCACGACCAAATAACTGACGAGTTGAATGACGAAGTACTTTTGCATAGATTTGTGAACAAAGATATTCACTTGTTAAATCCTGTTTGAAAACATACTATTTTACCAAAACCATTTCGCGCAAAACAGTCCCATACATTAATCTTGGCGGGATGTTTGATTGTTCGAATAACTTTTTGATGTCCTGTACATTGCCAATAGCGACGTTTCACTGGGCCTAATCGTATTGTACATTCATCCGAAAAAAACAATCTTGTTCCAATCTTGATCTTGCATTAACCTTACCCACTGCAAACGTCGTTGTTTGTGAAATGCAGTTAAAAGTGGTTTTGATAGAGGCGCAGAGAATCGATAACCAGCTGTTTTGTGAAACACGATCTGAAAGGAGTGTTGAAGTGTTTAGGGGTAGAAATCTGGACCCCCCCCTCCCCCCCCACAGACCGTTACAGACAGGTAATTCCCCCATCACAGACCGTTACAGACAGGCAATTCCCCCATCACAGACAGGTAATTTCCCCGTC